AAGGCGTAGCAGCCGGCCACGAGGTTCCCCGGCCGCGGCCGCGAGGGTGCTTGAGCTTGCCTGCTCCAGCCCCCAGCCCCCGGCCGTGTCCACGGATCGCGGCAGCAGGACCATGCTCCCGTGTGCTCCTATTGGTTTCCTTCTTGGCCTCCTCGCGGAATGTTCCTTCACTGTTCCTTCGGGGAAAGGTTGAACAACGGATTCTTGCATGGTTTCCGCCTTCGTGCTCTGGAGCTGCTTGGTGTACGGCTCGCCCTCGGCTAAGTCGGACACCTTCAACTTTTACCTTCATGCCCCACTCCTCTGCCTTGCTCTCTATGCCTGCCCTCAGCCTGTCCTCCTCGCCGCACAAGTAAAGAGAGAAGAAGGTGCGCTGCTTGAGATACACGTTGAGCTCCGAGATCGAATCACCTGCTTGATCTGCCCGGGTCGTTGCTGTCGGCACCTTGATCTCCTTCTTCTTGCGGGGGTGCTTTGGTTTCTCTTCCTTCTGGTATCTTCTGGTTCTTTTCGTCCTCCAACAAGGTCTTCCCAGCGCCCTCGGCAGGAGGCAAGCCCAGAACAAGGGCCATTCACATGGTTTCCTTTGCCATCGGCTGTTCCCTCGTTTGCTTTGCCACCATCGCCCTTTGAGCCTGCACCGGTGGTGCTACGGCTGGAACTCCTGTCTGTCGGCACTTTCTTATCCTCGCCGCCCTTCTCCCTTTCATTGCCTGGCTGCTGCAACTGCTCCTGCTAAAAGGGCTCGAGCATTCGCCGACCATGGCCTCGTAGTGCTCCACTCATCCGGGACATCGACACCTGGATGCTGCGCTTTGTTCCGGGTCGCTGCTCGGACCTCGCACTCTCGTCATCGTCTGCCCCCACATATCTGTTCGTCACCTTCTGAATTCCTCGTAGGCTTGCAGCATGTTCACGCTCATGAACCGCTGCATCCGCAAGGCAACCATACACCCGAAAGCTGTTGAGACAGGCTGTGTAGTTTGGGGGTGGAAGGTCCCTCGCGACAAAGGACCGTCTTGTTGCATGGCCTGCGTCCGCAACTTCAAAGTCTTGAGGTTCTTCTTCGCGAAGGGCACCCACACATCGAAGCCGGCATGCCGATTTCGGCGAGCCCGGCACACCTCGACGAGGCGCTGGCCGAGAAGATCGTTCTGCAAGATGGGCCACCTGGCAAAGCGCGTCAAGCATGTGCCTCGCGCGTCCATTGTTGCCGTGAATGTCGCCTTGTCTATCGGGCAGAGGTGGGCACATGATGGAAGGATTGGACGTCAAAGGCAGGTCGTGGAGGGGCTGTGGTTTCGACCCGAGCTGCCTCCGACGCGCGGGAGAAGCGCGTCGGCATGTCACAATCCGTTTCTTTAAGCTGCTGATTGGACTGAGATGCGCCAGTGCAGCACGCTTTGAGGTGTGCCATGAGTGCGATGCGCCCGCCACGAGTCAACGGCCCAAAGGACCACCGAGATCTGATCAGGGCACGTTGACATGGCTCACCTCCGGGCCCACAAAAACTCCAAGCCCTTCCAAGCCGTTCAGCTTTTGGCATGGCTTCTTGCGGGTTCGAACCGGAACTGGCGAGATTCTAAAGAGCTGTGTGTAGACCCACACTGGGACGGGCGAACCGGCAGCTCGTAGCTACAGCGAACTGGAGAGCAGTCTTTGGGGACCTTGGCACTTTGCAAAGCACCGCGATCACCGTGGTCGTTTCGGCGCACGAGTCGGACACATACAAACCATGTTTTCGGCGCTTTAAACTTTCGGTAAGACAGCTCTCGCTTTCGTCTTCAACATGCGGAACTTGAACTACAATGGCGTGCGTGTGTTTCAAAAGGCAACATGGAGCCTTTTTCAGCACCAAGGAAAGCAAACAAATTCCGCTGCCCATTATGCTTTTGCCAGAATCGATCACGACGACCAAACCACAACGATGTCTTAACTAACGACACTTACGACCCGGCCTGCGTAGGACCCTGGCCAGAACACGATAGTAGTCGAATTTCTGCATCGGGCTGCGAAGTCGCCGGGTGGACCGAGCCTTACCGGCCTTACCGCCCAGTAACCTATTCCCTACACCTGCAGTGCGAGCCCCCATGTTGTTGTGCTGCATTGTGTCGCAGCACCAAACCAGATTGAGTTGGTAACACGGCAATAGTTCTCATCACCTAGCGACGTTGCAAAACGGAGGCGAGGCGTGCTGGCAATCTTGGCCTTCATTACTGCGATGGTGCTGGACTGCTGCTCAGAAGGAGCGTTCGCACGCGGCGTGCCTCAGGCAGGTGCAGTTCAGCACTGCCTCAACCAGCAGGCCGTGCAAGTTCGTTCCTGTATTGAAACATGCGAGTAAGGACAATTGGCAGAGGACTGACCGACGGGACCGCGACATGTTTTGATTCCCAAGGTTGAGGCCATGCCCTGAAGGATCAGCATTTTGGTCAGCTGTATGTTAATCGTGGGCATGCTGCTGATCACCTCGGCCGTGAGGGCAGATGACATTCCAGAAGCTTGGTGTTCATTCTACATACCACGAGGCATAGCAGTTCCCGAGACTGGTGGCCAAGGAGATCCTTGACTGGAATTCCTGCCTGACGATTGGCTGTGGAGAAGCGATTTTCATAGCCATTCGCCGCAGCGGTTGCTGGACAGATCGGACAATGTGCTTTTTCCGGCAGTTTGTTGGTAGCAGGATTACTTGTAACCTGTTTTTTAAACTTTGATGTTTTAAGTTTTCCTGTAACAAAAATGTTAGTTGCACCTTTTTGTCCCCCAAAAGCAACGAATACCTGTGGAGGCTTGCAAAACAGCAGAGTCAGTTGTGACTTCTTTTAGCCTTGAGGGCTTTCCTTGTAGGGTGTAAAGTCTAGGCTTTAGGGTTTGCATTGCGACTACGGTTTGCATTGGGGCTTGCTTGTAGGGTGAAGTGGATGCTGTTGTGGTGTAGCTCGTGACACAACATTGTTGTTAGCTGGACACATTCAGGTGGATGCTGTTGTGGTGGTGCTCTTGACACAACGTCGCTATTAATTAGCCCCCCCACCCCCCCCCCCCCCCCCACCCCCCCCCACCCCCCTCCCCCCACCCCCCCACATCACGTGGCAAGCGGATGCTGTTGTGGTGTAGCGCGTGACACGTTGTTATTGGCTGGTCGTATTCAAGTGGATGCTGTTGTGGTGGAGCTCGTGACACAACGTCGATATTAGCCCCCCCCTCCAGTTGTTCTTGACACAACGTTCACATTAGCTGGTCGCATTCAAGAGGATGTTGTTGTGGTGGAGCTAGTGGCACAACGTTGTGATTAGCCCCGCTCCCCCGCCGCCCCCACCCCCACATCAGGTGGTCACGTTCAAGTGTATGCTGTGGTGGTGTCGCTCGTGACACAACGCCACTATTAGACCCTCCCGCCCACCCTGCACGGTGGGTGGCGTGGGGTGGTGTCGGCGGCCGCGTCAGGTGAGGTCAGGTGGGGTGGCTGGGTGGGGCATGGTGGGGCATTGGCTAGCTAAAAGACATTATTGCGGTGGAGGGAAGGCTTTCACAAAAGTAAAAGGTTACAAGTAAGAAGACATACAAGTAAGAAAAAAATTACAAGTTTGTTGGGCCAGCGTGCATCATGTTTTCATGGACATTTATGACATGTTGCTACAGTGGCCCAGGGCTGGTGACGGCGTTGGCTGAGCTCATCGCAAAGATCGGCGCGATCGGAGGCTGGAAGAAGGGCTGTCGTGATTGAGGAAGGTCTCTTCACGCCACGCGATGTAGTGGCTTTTGCGTTCAGGACAAGGCCTGAGTGAAGGTTCAAAGAGCAGGAAAACAGAGCCCGACGCACTGGCCCTACCCGACAATTGCGGTGCTACCGGCCGTCGTGGAAGGCAGTCCCTTGCAGCTCTGCATACTGTCGTTGACAGCGCAGTTGGCGACTGCGTGCATTTCCCCAACACCAGCAGGCCAAGTTGCCAAACAAACTCTTCGGTCTTCGATCACATTGACAGACATGTCTAGAGTGCATTCGCTGCGGCGATGTGCAGGCCTGCTTATCGCAAACGCCGCGCTTGTGACGGACAGAGAGTACCACCAGTTAAACTCCAAGCTACTGGTCCATAAGAATATCGGTGAGCATTGTTGATCTTTGTGGGTATCAAGTGCTTCTCTCCCGTACCTTGAGAGAATTGTCGTCGTGTTTTCGAGTATCCAGGCAGCTGGTAATTCTGGTGGCTTGGCAGAAGCCTCTACAACAGAATTCCTTCATCTTTGGACTTGGGTCCAGCTTCCTTGTCGTCATTTTTCTTCGGATTTATGTGGGAAAATTGACCTCAGGTCATGATCTCGTGCAGCATGGTGCTGAATGTTCAGATGCCTGATGATCTCATGCGCGGGAAGAAACGGAGTTTTAGCCGCTTAGCTCGCCTTAAGTCGTGGAAGCGTTTGGTGAAGTCCAGGTTTAGGAGATGGTGCTTTCGAGGTGTTCGCCACTTGCTGTTTTGGCAACTTCCAGCTGCTGCTTTGGTCATGGCGCTGACCGTGGTGTGGACGCTCGTGCGCCGAAGCAGCACTTTCGGCAGGGCTTGCGAGCATTGCACAAGTCCGCGAGTTTCTAGACTAGACTTTCAAGATCGTGTTTGCCCAGGTTCTATCTGTCATGAGCCCCATAGACCGCGTTGCTGGGGTAGAGACAGCTTTGATGATCTATGCCGGCCCAAGAAGAACAAGCAAGCGACCAAGTCATGTTCTGCGAGGCCTGTTTCTCCTGCGCGCATCAGCTTCAAAAGAACGGTTTCTCTGAAATCACAGGCCCTGTCGATCTTGCTCGTTTGCACTGAGAGCGGACACGGCCTGACGGCCCTTGGCCCTTGCTGGCCTCCGACGACCGAGTTCGGGAACCGAGGTGCTCTCGCTATCGCTTGCGAAGTGGAAAAAGAGCGCTATCTCTCGCATCTTATGCTGAGGACTGGCATCCAATAATCAAAAGTTGAATGCCAGACGTGCTTGCGGGATGTGCTGCTGAGGTCGGCGCCTCGGCCACAGGCAAGACAACGATGCTGGGGTCGCTGATACAGGCCCGTTTCACAGAGGCATTTCGGCGTGTCACCGGGTGTGTCTGCCACGCAGGAAAACGATCCCGGGCAGATGTCGAACTTCGAGGAGCAGAGGCAGATTCCTTCCCGGTTGTCGTGGGGATCCTAGAGTTCCTAGTACTGTAGCTTGCGGCAGGAACAACCTCATGGTGCATCATCAGTTCCAGGCGAGAACGGCGCAGTGCAGTACTGTGAAAAGTCGGACTCGGAGTCGAGACCCTGACAGATTGGCGGCCGCACACTGAAGTTCCTGGATTGCTCCGGCAACGACCGTGCCGCACACTTGGTGAAGGCCGGGAGATGCCTGTGTTTGTGGAGTCCTCCGGAGCGAGCGCGCAGGAATGGTTTGCTCGCACACAGTGGGTCTTCGTGGTCTACAACTTGACCGACACCAGGCGTGACAGCAGGATGTCTCAAGTCGTTGAAAATGCACAGCACCAGCACATTTGTAAAGGTCCTACGAAAAAGCTTTGACATTGGTTACGGAAGCCCGACAAGTCTCGAGCTCAGTCGATTCTTTTTCCTTCGCTTCTGCATCCCTGTGCATTCAAGAGATGCTTGGCCAAAGCAGGGAAGAGTTGTCCGATGTCGGAAGAGCGGGAAAATGCCGATCTCCTCAGGCTGGGGCCAGTGTCGTGCTGTTCGCCAACAAGTTCGTTGGCGCCTCAAGCACTTGCAATCAGATCCGAGGTCTGAGGTTGTCGCTGAATTATGGCCTCTGGGTGACTCTCAGGATGTCAATCAGGGCAAGCCAGTCGAGGTGCCCACTTGTGGGGAGCATATGGGAGCATCACATTCGGAAACGCTCTTGCGCTAAGCCCAGACTCATTGGCCAAGACCGAGACCCCACTCCACCTACAGCATTAGCATCGGCCAGGTATGAAGAGGTTGCACGAAGCTGTCCAGGATGTTTGTTGTGCAGATGCAGCGGCGGTCCGTGATCGTCATGAAAACAAACATAAACAAACACAGAAATGTCAGAGTTAAACTGTGTGATTGGCTAACCTGATTTATAAGGTGTGTCTGGATAGATAGTCCAAACCGCAACAAATGCAACAACCAGCACGCGCGACGTCAGTTACCGAAATCAATATGTAACAAAGAGAGGCGCAACCGCCCGCTCGCACGCGCGCATGCACTTGCGAGTTGACCTACTGGTGACATATGGTAACTGGGCTGATCTGCAACAGCAAGGCTCAGATGATTCAGATGATGTTGATGATGAGGATGGTACCGAGCATGAGATATCTTGGCATCGCAGGTGCCAGACGCAAAGAACTGCACGCAAAACAAAGGATGTGATCCGTGAGGTGTAGGGTTATTGCACCACTGCATTTTAGGCTCTCCAAGCTAACCCCACGCGATCCAGGAACGAGCGTCGGCACCTCTTTGGCGCCTGGTCTTTGTTGGCCCTTGGCCAGGACAGGCGCACACACACACAGACTACCAGCCGCCTGTGCAGAGCACGAAGTCACTCCCCTACTCGTGACTTGTGCCGCACGCACACGACACCCCAGCAAGGGGTAACAAGCTCGGGGACTGTCACCAAAAACTACACATTGTCACAAGTTGAAGGCGATTTAAGGCACATTCACTCATGTCAGAGCATCTGTCCTTGAAAGGAAGACGGTAAAAGGTTGTGGAGGACTGCTGAAGGTAAGTCGCTTGCTTTCTTAAGATTCGACAAAATTGCGGCCATGCCCACATGTCAGATGCAAATGCTGTCCTGTGCATCTGCAGAGCTACGAGTCGCCATCGTGCTTCGATCGGAATTAATCTTCCCTGCGATCCGTGACTGTATTATCTGGAGTATAGCAGAGTGATCGGAGCTGATCAGGTGCTTTATGGGGCCCTGCTTAGCATCAGACAGGCATGCTCACTGACCGCCCCCACGACGGCCAACACGGCGCCAGGACGGAAAGCCGTGGTGATCACACTTGCAAGTTGATGGACTGGTGACTGGGCTGATCTGCAACAGCAAGACTAAGATAATTTTAACGCTACGCCGCCCGCCTCGGCTGTTTAGCGGCAGGGCGAGGGGGCAGTCGATGTTGTATACATGCTAGGGGGGCCGGGGGGGGGCGGGGAAGGGGCGGGGGAGGGGCCCTGGGAGGGAGGCCTGCAAACCGGTTAAGGCCTCGCCCGGAGCAAGAAAAAACAACACAGAAAGAGCTTGAAAAGACAGGCAGTGGATTGACGCAAAAGCCAAAGCGGGGGCGAGGAAGAGGGGACGGGGGCGGGGAGAAGAAGTGGGAGGGTGGGCAAGGGGGTGGCAAACGAACGCAAAAAACGGGTGTCACCAATCATTCGGGCTGTAGGGAGGAGGATTAGGTGGAGGGTACCTGAGGTAACCCCCAAGACGCCTGGGCCTCTGGCCTCGGCGGATATTGATGCTGACGGTGGTGACAAGAACGAGGTTTCTCGGCGCCATGTATGCCAGACTTAAGGAATGTCAGGATATTGCAGGCAAAACAAAGGATTTGATCCATGAGGGGTTTGTTGCACACACCGGGAATGATGCAGCATGAAGTCGGATGAAGGTGAGAATGAGCTGTGAGTCCTTCGGTTGCAACAGCTCGTGGAGGTGAGTTCGGGGGCATCATCGGCCAATAGCTCCAGTCCACTTCACTGACTGGACAGAGGTTTGTATGCTGCCGCAGCGAATGACAAGCCGAAGGGAAGAAAGATTGCAACATCATTTCAAGGAAAACAAGGCAGCAAGGACCAGGAGACGGCTTCCTGCACTTGCCATGGCACATCAAGCTGCAGACATGGGTTCATTTTATGTCAAACAACGCACATGCAGTGTTACTTTAGGTGTAGCAGATGCACATGCCCTCCTGCTTGATCGAACAGTGTTCAGGCCTTTGTCCGTGCAGAAGCCCATGATCCCGATGAAGCCTACTGCGGGTACCCTTCTGCAATGATCGCAGGGACGATCACACATGTTCTGCAAAGCCAGCCCCACTCATCACTCATCCGCTGTCGCAGGCTCGGGCACATGCCCCTGTGATCTGGCCTCATGGGGTGTCAACCCGAACCATCACACACTGGTTCAACAAAAATACATGCGACGGGACTTGACAACGACAAAAACTGAAAATAACATCAGATTGGTAGCCGCAAATATTGAAACACCAGAACAGGCGCTGAATTTCTCGGTGGATTGAGTCCAGTCCACTGTTTCTGAAGCCTTCCACTCGATTCCCATAGCTTCGTTGGCATGGCATGGGAAAGTATCGCCATGCCCCTGCAACATCACAACTCATGTTTGGACGAAATAGAACAGAAAAAACGAACCATGGCAAATCATTGTGAGTTCTGGAAAACCAGTGCATGAACCTGAAATCCATGTTAGATATCACCATGTGCAAGTGCACACGCACACGCACCCGCCCGCACGCCTGCCCGCCCACCCGCGCGCATGCACGCATGCACATTCGCATTGGGCCATGCTTCAGGAGCAAGGTGCCGTTCAAGCAGCGTTCTATAATGCGCGGCGGCGTTATCAAAGCATTCCGACCGTTCAAATTCCAGCAACAGGTGCTGACAGGTGCCTTGTGCCATTTACCAGGTGACAAGATGTGTCAAGTGCATCTGAGGGAACCGATGTTGATGCAATTCTGGCTGGCTAGTACACCGTGTCCTTCGGAGCAGCATAGGAATGGCTCGGTTCAATTACACAGGTGGACGTTGTTGCCAGCCATGCGAGAGGGACAAAAATACACAGTTTCAAGGGCAGTAGGCCGTCGGGATGCGCAGGTGAACTTGCAAGAAGCTCACGACAAGGGCACTCAGCTTGGTGTGCGACACCCAGTCAAACCAACGTCACAGAAGTATTGATGCATCTTTCGTATTGCACAGCAAGGGCTTGGTCACGTATTGCAAGGCCTATGTCGGGGAAGGCATTTCGTTGTCGGACTGGGCTAGGTGCGGGAAAAAGTGTCAGGATGCTTGACAGGCCATTTGCGTATGCCTTCTCGCAGGTTTGCTGCCAGCCAGGACGAGACGCAAGCGCCAGCAGAAGGTGCATTGCGATTGTCCATGATGTTTGGTGGATTGTTGGCCGTTCAGATGCGGCTCCTGATGGAGCAACTTCTGACGATGCGCAGGGGCCTTGCTTGTCCTTGAAAGGGTTCTTGGAATCGGAAGGGCAGAGATCGTTTTGAGGCAAAAGCGCAGCTCGATCTCAGCAGCTATTGACTCCGTGAAGCCACGGCCTTTAGAACTATCATCTTGAACGGCAGCTTTCATCACACTTCTTTTAGGTCCTGGTTCGGTACGGCGCCAGAGAAGGGTGGCAAGGCCATGCCTGCCTTCCTAAAGCGAGAGTACGAGCGTGTTTGTTCGAAAGGCCGCCGGAGTTCTGCGAGCATCCTTGAAGGGGACTAAGGCGATGAAACAGGCCAGGCACAGAGCGAACCAATTGTTTTGGTTTGGCAAACATCCTGCTGCCAGGCTAAGCGAGATGTCGACCCCAACGCAGATCTTAAGCCTGTTCAAGAGTTGCAGGACGCGATGAAACTATATGGGTCTCGGTTTCGACTGTAGTCTCTGTCTTGCCACTCTCACTTGTTCCAGCCCTTCCAGGACTCGGAGTCCGCCGTCACCTGCGTATGCCAGGGACTCACGAAAAGTGGGAAGTCTTCTGTATGCCATGTAAGCCTTGCTTCTGTGCGCTCGAGGTTTTGGCCAAGAAAGGCTTCACAGGGCGTGCCCCTGCTTCAGTGAGAATTGCTCGGTGAGAGCCTCCCAAGACCTTGCGCCCTCTGGGAGCATTTGGCTTTCCGAAGGGTCCTAGTGCATCTTTGGCCCAAGAGTCCTGGAGGCTGCACACAGGTCAATCAAAGGCTTCGCCATGGTGGACGTGGCCCATTTGGAGATGCACTCGCATGCCCACCCACCTGGACCAATTAACGATGGATCACTGGCATACAGACCCTTGCCGAGATAGGTTCGGTGGGCATGAACAGATGCTGAAGCAACTGGGTCCGACGATCAATCTTTATGCTTTCTCCCTGCTGCTCTCGACTCCTGGCTTAAGGACTTGAGGACTACTTGCTGTCAGCTTCGTGCCTTATGGAAATCAACGCCTTTGCACAAAGATATGCCCCAATCTTCGAAGATGTGGGGCCGGGATCACCTCGGCATGCGCCCCGGCGTTGCAAGAGTTAGGGCCTTCGTTAAGCTTTCAAGCATCTGCACTCGTAGGTCTTTCTCGCCAAACTTACACGCAACCCAGCCGAGCAGCAGCATAAGTATGTCGAGGTCCTACAGTTCTCAGGTTCATAGCAGAAGCTCTTGCAACGACGTTGCCCGAGTTTTCTTCGCCACCAAACCCACCCAAAAGCAAGCATGCTTCAACGGTTTCATGTCTCTGCTTGTCTGTCTATGGAACGATGAACCACTTGTTGTTGCTTAAGGTGGACCGCCACCAGAACCCCAGCCAAATTGTGGTGCATCGGCAGATCTTCCGTCAAGTCGTTCCATGTGGATTTGAGCTTTGCGCCCTTCTCCGCACCAGTGCCAGCCCCGCAGCCAACCACGCCAAGCTTGCTCACTCCAACGGATTTTGACTCGGTTTGTGCCATACTGCAAGAAATTTCACAGTTTGGAGAGATGTGGGGGGGCCTCTGTAAGCTTTCAGGTGGGGGGTGTAGGTCGTCGTAAGGCACTGCGCAGCTAATCAGTGAATCAGAGACAGGCTTCCCGCGCTTTGGCAGGAGTCACTTGATTCTGGCGGGTAATGCAGCTGCAAGCCTTCACAGTAAGAAACTCTCTAAGACCGCCACTGGAAACTTTGCGATTCCGCTTGAAGCATTTCCTACCGAAGTGCTGGGAGGATCATCCGCACGAGTGGCATGATCTCTTTCAGGAGCGGGATTGGATCGGGCTGCAAGGCTGCGCTTTTGCTATCTTTGGCTTCATTGAACGTTCAAGGAATGCAGATGAGCAAAGGAGCGGCTCGGGCCGAGGGCACTCGCAGTCACATCTTCTCTGTTCGTCAGGAGTACGAAGCAATGATGCGAAGAAGGACGGATCAATTTCTGGAGAATGAAGGCGTGACAGCAGAGCAGGCGGTGGAGGAGTGCCACTCGTTTGCCGTTTTTAGGCTTAGTGATTCTTAGTTTAGTGGGTATCAATTATCAACTCTTGACATCTGGCAGTGCACGTCGTCGATCGTGAGGCTTCCGGAAGCGAAACGAAGGCAACTCCAAATTTCAGTATTTCGATCCTTGCCTGCACAAAGGTTCGCAGTGAAGAAGCGTATGGTTTTGTAAGGCCCTATCTTCTCAGGAGTATTTGGCTGCAGCTGTGGACTACCGAAGGTTCTATGCATTAATGCTCGACTTCAAGGACTGCCATAGTTCGGTTTGGAGTTGCCCATGGATGCCCTGACGCAGTCTGACCGGATTTTTCAAGGGACATCAAGGGACTGTTTCCAGTTGCGTGCAATGCATGGTTCAGATGGTTCAGCACAGGGAAGCGGATAGGAGGGAGGGCGGAGATGCAGGATGGACGCCGGAATCTGACGCAGTGGTGGAACTGCTTACAACTGCAAGATGACAGTTGACGAAATGGCAACGGTTGGGCATTGCAGCGTCTGCGCCGCTTTGACGCTTTGAACACAAGGCAGCAGAGCAGGCTTTTCGACACATTTGAAATGCGATTCCCACGAGCCAACGAAATTAAAGTAGAAGTGCCAGTGTCTGCTGGGATGACTCTGAAGCCGGAGGGACCCAGCAACTGGTGTGCGCAACAAGCTAAGAACTGTGCATTGCTCTCACAGTGAAAGCAATGGCAGCGGCCGTTCTCGACTTGTGGAAAATTAATTTAGCCTACGGGTGAACCTGTACAGAGATCCATGAGTTTCAAAAGAAGGTCAGCAAACTCCACCTTTGCCTTCAAAGCAAAGCGATGGGATAGCTGAACTTTATGCCAGCGGAGTGAGTGTTGGGCTGGAGGCTTCAAGTCAACACCGTAGTATGAGATTGCCACGCCTGCATGATCTGGAGAATCACTTCCAGTCTCTGCTCAAGCGTTACAGTTTGGCACTGGTATTCCTATCCAGGTACATACTCTTCGTCACAGCATCCAAAGATGGTACAGTCGTGGTGTACCGATGCTACAGGACTGAAGCGGTGTTGTTCAGCTTCCTACGATAACACTTCCTTGGAAGCAGCACAGGACTGAAATGGAGATTGCAATGCTGGCGGCGGAAGATTTCCGAGGAGACAACGATCGAGCCCTGGTCAAGTTTCTCCGGTTTTTTTGTCAGTCTGAATCCGTGGGCTCGTCACAGGCAGCGCCTCCTCCTGATCATTCCAACATCGCGGCTGATGGCCCAGGGGCTTTCGATGGCGACGCAGCCGCAACTATTTTACTTTGCCTTTCGCAGCTCACTTAAGGTACATTCTCGGCTTGTCGGCCATTCCCGTGCAATTACTTCGGTCTTCTTCAATCTGCTGGAGGACCAGCTGGTGCCGTCCTCGAAGCCTCCTTCGAAGCCACAGGTGTTGATTATCCATGTTCCCGTGCGATCCCTCCCATCGCGTTCACTGGCCGTGTATGATGATAATACCCCGCCGTGTTTGCTTGAAAGGTCACAACATCGATTGACAAGTCGGTCCGTTTCTGGAACGTGGACACCGGGGAGATGTTGAAGGCAGTGTTGACTTGCATGTTCTTTGTGCCATCTGGCGTGGTGCAGGTTTTCACAGACTCTTCTCCAGTGCCAGTGGCTGCTTTCCTGCCTTTCAATCCGCAGGCTGCGTTCGGTGGAATGAGTTTTGGTTCTCCCCGGCCCACGAAGTTTCGTGATAGGTTTTTGTTGCAGCCAACTCGAACGCCGTCTTGCGGCTCGTGAACGTGCAGAACGGCATGGTCCTTCAGAAGCTCAAGGCAACAATGATCAAGCCTGGTAAGACCCAAAGCCTGCCATTGGTGACTTCTCTTTCGGAGGGCATGCGCTGTCAGCGGTTCTGCAGGTCGAAACCGAAGTGCGCACTTTGAAGTTCGACGATACGGGCCTATTCCTTCTGGTCACCGTCTGAGTAAACAGGGTAGCCGGGAAAACGGAGTGTAGGCACTTGCCAGGCCGGCACGAAAAGTGGTTCCATCCACGTCTTGGAGGCCCGTTTCCTGTCTGCGGACCTTGGCGACTGACTCGGAAGAATCCATGCAGCAGAATTTGAGGCAACAGATGCGAGCACGTTGAAGTTTAAGTTCAAGGTGCAGTTGGCACGGGGAGGCTCCGACAAGCTGCGCCTTTTGTATGACATGAGTCTTGGAAAGGCGTCAGGTCATGAAGGTGCAGCGGAGCAGAGCCACCCTTTCCTAAAGTCCACATGAGTCATTGCTGGGACTGCCTGCCGCAGCCGTGTGATAGAGCACCATAGCTATCACCAGGTGCCGAGAAGCCTGACACTTCGATCCTCAAGACGGGGGCAGGGGCCCGACGCCATAATGGCAGAGAACGAGGAGCAGGTGCAGCGTCGCCGGCTGGATGAAAATTCCAAGAAGCTCCTAGAAGCTGAGGCTGACAGCCTCGCGTCTTATTACAGCCAGCTGGCTGAGGACAAAAACCAGAATCCCAAAGTTAGAGAAGCAGCTCTCCTCTACTCTGTGGCAGAGAGCCACATACAAGATGAGGAGGCGGAAGAGGCACTGCAAAAGGGTACCCAAGCGCTAGAGCTGTTTCGCGAAGCAGCGTGCAAGGCCGGACAGCAGGACACCGTTCGCCTGCTTTGTGGGGCCGAACGCCTGAAGCAGTCCCCAGATTTTGCCATCGACAAAGCCCAGGCCGAGCTGAGGAGTTTCCGAGAACAAGACGACAAGCGGGGCCAAGGCTGCATGCTGCTTGCTTTGGCAGAGTGCCAGTTGGCCAAGGCCTTGGCTGGCGAGGCCCTGAGCAGCATTGAGGAGGCCTTGCCACTGCTGCGGGCTGCTGGCGACAAGAGACTGGAAGCTTTGGCCAACGTGCTCCAAGCACGAGCGCAGCTCCGTCGATGCCAGTCCAAGGATGCCATTCTTTCTGCAGAATCGGCAATAGCCCTCTCCAAGGAAGCTGGAGACAGGATCGGTGAGGGAAGGTGCTGCAATTGGCTAGCCATGGCACAAATGGATGCAGGGCGTCCAGCCGAGGCTTTGAGTACAGCTCACACTGCTCTGGAAATCGCACAGGAAGTCAGCAGCCCAAAACTCGAGGTAAACTCCTTGCAGCTCTTGGCGAAGGTTCATGTCTTCAAGGAGAAGAGTCGGCCCGCTGTTCAATTTGCAGAGCGATCCTTGGCAGTGTGCCGCAAAATGCAGCAATCCAAGGGTGAAGGCAGTGCTTTGCACCTGCTGGTGAGCTCGCTGGTTCAGCGGGGCGATCTGAAGCGTGCTTTGAAAGAAGCGGAAGGTGCGCTGGAGGAATATGAAGCCAAAGGCGACAAGCGAGCGGAAGCATCGGCGCACGGTGCTCTTGCCCTTGTCCGCCAGGAGAGGCATGAGTTGGACTTGGCGGCGTCGGAGCAGAATCAGGAGCTGGAAATCCTGAAAGAGCTCGCCGACAAGCAGAGCCAACTCAATTCTTTGCTTACGCTATCAGGAATACATGCATCTCAGAAAAAGGCATCTTCCGCAAAAGAGGCTGCAGAAGAGGCCAAACAGCTGGCAGATGACATCCAGGACAAGAAGGGTGAGGTTCTGGCAACAGTCGCCTTGGTCAATGCACAGATCGCCGATCAAAAGAATGACGATGCTGCGACAACTGCCCAAGAAGCCCTACGTGCCGCGCAAGAGACGGAGGACAGGCGGCTGGAGGCAGCTGCTTTGACAGCCATCGGCAATGTTCACGTTGCTAAAGGGGAGTTTGGAGCCGCAGTTGGGAAGTTGTCGGAAGCAAAGTCCCTTTTGCTTGAATCCGGTGACCGACGCGGAGCAGCAGCCGCCTTGTTGAGCCTTGCCGACACTCACTTGTCGAATAGCGCGGCAGACTCCTCCATCGAATGTGCGGACGAAGCGAAAGACATTTGCAAAGACCTGGACTACAAGAAGGGTTATGCAGATGCTCTGCGAAAGCTGGCCGCCGCACACTTGGCCAAGGATGATGAAAGGGAGGCAGTCAAATTAGCCTTGGTCGCCAAGAAATATTGCAAGGCAATCGAAGACATCCGTGGTGAGACGGCCCTCCTTCACTTCTTGGCATCATCCAGCCTTCGCAAGGGTGACAAGCACGGGCAGGAATTGCAGCAGCTTGAGGGAAGGAAGCAAGGGGAAAGCCAGCAGGGCATACAAGCCAACCGAAGTCTGCGCAACTCGGCTCATGAGGCTGTCAAGAGGGCCAGGGCGGCAGTAAACATCGCGAAGAAGAACGATGATCCGTACTCAGAGGCGACGGCCTTGACCCACGTGGCACATGGGCTTGCCATCCTGAACCGCGGCACGGAGGGCTTGGTTTGTTGCCGAAAGGCTGAGGACATGTTCCGGGAGTGTGGTGCTGTGGGTGACCAGGCCAGCGCGGTCTGTCTGTCGGCAGAAGTTGCAAATACCATGGGCAATAAGTCCAAGGCCTTGGAGCTTGCAAACAGAGCACTTGACCTGGCTCGCCGGGCTGAGGATGGCAAGGTCGAAGGCCGCGTCCTTGGAGTCATGGAGCTCATCAAAGGAGTCCAGAAGCAAGTGCAGCAAGAGATCCCCGATGCTATGTTCGCAAGTCCCGATGCTGGCGGTGTGCCAGGTGCAGCCTCTGCAGCACCAGTAGCACAAGGACTTGATCCGGACATGGTCCAAAGCAAACTACAGCATGTCGTGGAGCAAGTTGCTGGTGGAGATGAGGAGGTGCACTTGGATACCCCACTTATGGAATCCGGCCTGGACAGTCTGTCCGCAGTGGCTTTCAGAAATGAACTCTCCAGACAATTCTCTGGCATCGGGCAGTTGCCAGCGGCCCTGATGTTTGACTACCCCAGCATCCGTGCCATCACGGAGCACATCGTGGACCGCAGCAAAGGGCTTGCCTAGTTTCAGTTTGCGCTTGACATCTTCCTCGCATTGACAGCATCTATGCACCAACGGAGGATCGAAAAAGGCTCGTGCTTTGTTTGCACGCTGCACTTCGTTCTTGCATGTCTTGGATACCCGAGCTTGTCCAGGCCGACAGCATGCAGCATGCATGTCTGCGGTGCGTGTTGCAGAATGCAGAATGCCTTCAGGTGTAACGTGCTTGGTCTTCGTACCTGCAGCCCATGGGCAGCCGCCTTGCTTGTTGGCGACGCCCTTTGAGAAGTGCTGCTGCCAATGACTGCTGTTGGTGTTTGCAAAGGAGAAGCGATGTGAAACAAGGAAGACCAGCCTCCCCTGTCTCGGTCTGAGGTCAACACATCTGACTCATCAGCGTCCATCATTGATTGCACGTACGGGCCTCCCCCTGGGGTCGGTCACTAAGATGTGCATTTGGAGAGTTACAGCTTCAGTTGACACCAGCACAACGAAGCCCCGAGGTGCTCACGAACTTAGCTGTGAGGCACCGTCTTGACCTTAATGCAGTTTGAAAGCACCGGTTGATCCGAGCTGAGTTCTTCCACTCAGGTGTTCGTGTGGCTCATGCGCTGCTTCCATTGAAGTGCTGTTATTCACCGCCGGGCCCTTCCCGGCTTTGCCATTCGGAGGGACTGCGGCATGAAGTCGCTTCCTGAGGTCCAGCCAGGGATATCTCATTTCTGCGTCTGAGGACAAGGAGGTGCGACTTAGAGTCTTAGAGAGCTTTGCAGCAATTCGTGCTTCAAGCTGTGTCAGCCGAAGTCGCTGACATGAAGCCGCTTGACACCTTTGAGCTAGGTCTACATCTACTCCCTGGCAAAGGGTGCGAACTACAAGATGAGTTACCTGAAGCACCACCAGGCACTGAGAATGTTTATGAACTGCAGTGTAGGTGCAAAAGAACCTCGGATGTTTGTTGAACTCACAAGGTGCCTGTTGTGGCGGTGGCAACAAACCACCAGGCCCAAGGGCTCTCTGGCGGACACGTCAGCGCTGACTTGCTGACTCCGGCACGCAGAGATTTCCCAGGACACACTGTTGGCAAGTGCCGACTCACTTGGTCGGGTTGTGCTGTGGAGAAGGCCGTCACTTCGTTGCAGCGACTTCGGGGCGGGCAGACGGCGTGCAATCTCGTTGTGCTTTGTCCTGCACAGGATGGACTTCTCGCACTTGCCCGATTGAAAGGAGCTGGTTTCTCGGAAAATTCGAAGTTATACGAGAAGTCATGTTCGCAGCCGAGCAAGTGAACAACTCAGGACTGGTTTGGGTCAGGATTGTGCATGATGCTTCATGCTTCTGTGTCATGTCATATCGTGTCGCCCTGTTGCTGCTTTTGCGCCCAAGCTGCTCCATGTTGTTCTGTTACTCACCATGCTTATCTGATGGTAGTGGGATGACGAAGTAGCGAATACTCGTGAAGAGCTGTCCAGGGATACCGTGATGTGGCAGAGCCTTGCGTGACCTCAAAAGTTGCTTCGGATGGATGCCGTTGCCAGCCCGCGGTTCGGGACATGCTGCGATGTTCGGAACGAACGGTTTCGTGAAGGTTCGAAGTCCGAACTTTCGCTGTCGAGCTTTGACCGGAGTGGGGTGCGGGCATGGGCTGCTTTGAGAGGTGTCCGAGCGAAACTGGGGGCGACCTGCAGCTTCAGAGGGCCTCCGGAAGAGCCTTGGCGCAGAGCAGAGCACATCACAGAGAGGCTGAGCTGAGCCCGAGCCAGCGCTGAGGATCCGCTCTGATCCGGTGCTGCCGAGGATCGCCGAGGCGCCTCGGCTTTTTTGAGGCAGAGAACTTCCTGAGAATGTGTGGTGGGCGCCGTTTGCACCGCGCCTCTGTTTTGCCAGGCCCAGGGCCGCGTCCTGGGCGGCTCTGCGAGGAAGGTTTCCATCGATGCGGCGGATGGTGCCTGAGACTGCTTCGTTGGGGGAACGCTTTGCAATCCGTTGGGTAGTTCAAAACCCGCCCCAGACTTTAGAATTTCCGTTTGATCCGAGGTTCACTGCCTCATGTTTCTGGTGGTCTGGTGGCCAAACGTGCAACAGCAGCTGGCCGCAATGCAGAGTGAAGTCTTTGCGAGACCTGCTCTGCACGGTTCTTGCACGCATTCAAGGCATTCAGGCATGCCACCTCATTGCTCCCGCCTGCAAGCGTAGAAGAGGTCGGGCACAAATTGCAAGCTTGTCTGATGCACTTGAATGCTCCGCCGCTCCGCATGCGGGCAGGCAACGAATGCAGCCTTGGCCTCGATTGAGGACATCAGGAGTTCAGTGGAACATTTCCAAGGAAGATCCAACGGAGACAAGGCGAGGTGTAGTACTGGACACTCTCCCTTGTGGAAAGCTACTGTACGCATGTCCGAGCAGATCCGAGCAGGAAGCCTTCTTGGACGAACCAACGGATCTTCGGGAGGATCTTCGATATCGCCTGGCTCGCTACAGCTGCCCAGATGCCTTGGCCTAGGCAGAGCATGGAAGCCAAGTACCAATGCTTTCGGCTTCAGTGGAGAATATTTCGGCACAGCCCATCAAATCAAGATTAGTAAATTGCGCCGAAAATGCGCGCGAAATGCTTTTGGAAGCTTCCCGGCACAAAACGCAGTGCAAAAATGCGACAAAAGTTGGAAATTCGGGAAATTGGACAATGCTTCAAAATGCGACCAACTGAAGAGAACGTTTTTGGTGCATTTTGGGGTAGCTGTAGAGATATTCTTCTTGGTTCCGGTCCTGATTTCTTGATAGGAATCTCTTATGCAATTCAACTGGAAATTCTCAGATCTTGGACTCCGGCTGGCTTTCCATGTTTAAAATCCTTGTCTATACTTTTTTCAGGGTATTCCTTAGATTAATCGATAAGTTCTAAAGGGGTATCCTAAAATGTTTTGTTGTGTAAGTATTCCTTGTGTCAGTTTTAAGGAGTACAGGTGGTCTTCTATTATAGATTGAAAACCTGCCTCAGGTTTATTGCATTGTCGAAGCTTCGAACTTATATAACGCGAAAGTAAGTACAAGTATTAACATGTTTGCAAGACTGACCAGGCGATTTTTTCGTGTTTGGAAACCCAGGGGCAAGTTCCAATCGCAGTTTAAGGATCAGGTCTGGCACATGAATAGTTCGTTTTGGTAAATGTATGCTGTACCTGGATTCGCCCCTAATTAATATTTCGACACTTGGATTCGATTTTCGTGTGCTCTCCTTCCTCGTAACTACCCAGGATATGCAAGACGAATCGAGCCGCCGCCGCCGCCTCTTGCAATGGATCCAGCGCTGCTGAGCCAGCAATCAGCGAAATGCCGCATTTCAAAGTGGCCGTTGCCGAGCCGAGCACGAGCTCAGGTTCGAGCCTGCGCCTCCCCGACCCGTCCAGGTCGCTGCAGCCCAGGCCCAGATCATGTCCTCCAGCTGCTTGCGGAGCTTCCAGCCGGACCGTAGACGCGCCCAGCTGGCAGAACAAGCTGAGCACAGGACAGGGTGTTGCAACGGGGTGAAGTGTGCGAGGGCCCAGCTTTGAGTCTTGGAAAGGAGATTGAGGCTTGAAGCTGCAAAAACAAAGCGGGAGCTGTCGCACCAGGAGCGAGCTGCTAGGAAACACTTGTCCTTGTCTCAGCCACAGGAAGAAGTTGGATCCCTTGCCGTTCGCTCAGGAACTGGAAGAGAAGACACTGGCTGACATAGACCGCTATCTCCAAAGAATGGAGCACTATGAGCTTGAGAAGAACTCCAGTCGTTCGGGTGGCTGCTTGGCCTGACAACTACAGTAGCGGAGTTTCACGGTCAGCCGCAGTCAACCACATCTCGCTAAAGTGGCAGTTGCTCTTCTGGGCAAAGGGCAAGGAGGTCATTGAAGCACAAAGTTATGCACAGGTAGAGGGCGCTACGAGCCTGATTTGCTACACCAGCCTCCAAAGAGAAGGAGCAGCCACCGGCAGGGATAACCCAGGTCGACGACGCCCGCTTGCGTCATTGACTCTGGAGCAGCAGCTGCAGGACTTGGTGTGACGCAGCCTGTGCTGTCGATTCATACCGCTCTTGCAAGACAGGAGCGCCAGAAGCAGTTTGCAACCATCATGGCAGCTGCTGCTTTCTGTGCCGGCGCCGTCAAGGCAATGGCTGGATTTGGTCCGATCAGCCAGGCCCGCCCCGCTGCGTTGAGACTGTATGCAACTTCGGCTGCCACGGCTGGGTTCGAGAATCGACTCCCCCTAGGCCCAGCTCGCTGCAAGAGGTCGAGCAACATTAGAGGCAGTTCGGACCTTGAACGGTGCGCCGCACAGAAGTGAAAAATTAGCAGCCGGCCCTTGAATCAGAAACCGGCAGAACCAGCGTAGTTTCCTGATGCGCATCAGAAGCTGCGCATCGGAAACCGGAACCTCCCAGCCGAAACCAGCGCACATCGGAAACTGCGCAATAGATACCGATGACATCCGACGACAACGTCAGCCTTTTGCTGCTGCGAGTGCGTCCAGAACCAACAGCATCCATGCCGAAGCGATGAGAACCTCCATGCTACGCCCAAGAGCATCCTCGTTTCCGAATCGAACCGTCTGGAATCCCCGTAACACAGTTTTCTGAATCGGCCGTGATGGTTTCCGAATCAGACGTCCTGGTCTCCGAATCAGGCGTGGTTTCTGAATCATGCGTGATCTCCAACTCAGCCGTTCTGGCTGCCGGATTGTTGTCGACCAGACGGCGCACGCTCAATGTCTAGGCCAAAGGGTGTGCTGGCTGGGAGATGTAGGACGAAGGATCCATGCGCACACGGGGCGGATCAAGGCCCGTGACATGATAACATCATCAATCCGAGGGTGGTGGCATCAAGTCTGGCCAGACGTACCCCGCCCAAATCTGCAAATGTGGTGGCTGGATGTGGCTGGAGATTGCTGGAGTGGAATCGCAAGAAGATGGAACTGCTCGGGTTGGCAATAAGAAAGGATTTGTATTATACTTTGGCCACCTTTTCTAGTCCTTGAGCAGTCTATGAGGCAATGCACAAGAAGGCACTTACCCAAGGTATTTATTTGGATGTCAGCATTATCCCCACCAGATGCTTAATTACGACTTCTTACTTGTAGCTCCCAGTTTCACCGAAAAGCCGCGGGTCTCGTCCAATCCTCTCTGCATTGGATCGCTCCAAGATGTGAGTTCCCTCACCCGGGCGGAGTTGAAATGCTGGTGCAATGAATAAAGAAGTTTGGACGAAACGATAGCAAGCGATTCGTCTTAGAGCACCATCAGATTTCCAGGATGCCGCCATGCCTTTGTTTGCGCACAGTAGCCCTGCGTGCGGGCCGAGTTTGGTCTCCCGGCAAGGTAAGACTTAAGATAATCTCTCGCGCTCCGATCCTGAGCCATTTTTCACACAGCCAGGAAACCTCACAGCTCCTCTGACCGGCCGTTACCGAGGTAAGTCGCATCCATTGCTGCATGCTTGCATATCCGAGATCTGCAGGCATGCCTATCCAGGTTCAACCGCATCAGTGTCCAAGAGAAAGGCATTGCGGCTTCTTGGTTTCTTTAGTTTCCAGCTTCGTCGCACGTTTGGTGCCATGCCAGAATGCAGGCAAGGCCTTTTGCTTGTGCTGTGGCCATCAATTTGTGGCGCACCGGGCTTACAAACAGTGGCAAGGAAGCGAGCTGTCACATGTTTGCTGCCGATGATTGCCTTCGTTCTTGTATGTTCTTGTCCTGCGGAAGAGGTTCGCACTACGCTGAAGCAGTCCGCGTTCGACTAACCTGCAAGCTGCAAGAGGCCGAAAGCTTCGATACCTTCTGAACACAGAACCCGGATGACGCGCTATTGCCGAAGATACTTGGAACAAGGCATCACCACTGTCTGAAGCATCACGGACGCCATCAAGCCCCACACGCAGCCCTTCGCGAAGGTCCTTAAAAGAGTCGCATGCCTCAGACAAATTTTTGGAGCTTTTGTTGGGCTACGACTCTGCCGGGACCCAGAGCAAAGGTCCGCCGACAGGAGCATCATGCAGATGCAGCTCCCTCTCTTAGAGAAGTCCGAGGCGCTTCCATTTATGTGGCGCTGCCAGCTCATGGAGGATATGTTCCGAGCTCGCAAGCTGCTCTTGAATCTTGTGGTGTTCGTCGCCTGTTCTGTGAATCCACAGATATCCCGGTGGCTGAGGGTCGTGAACCGACTGCGCCTCCGACGAGCCCGTGGACACGCGCGCTGTCTGCTCGCAGCACTCCGCTGCTGGCACCCCTTCCGTGCACTGCGGATGATGCGCGATGTCGTGGAAGCTCGGCTGCACAGACTCAAATCTGGCATTGCGCTTGTAGCGGCTATTAAAGGTTATGCTTCAGCGTCGCAGCAAGTACACCTGATTCACAGGGCGAAAGGACGTTCTGCTGTTGGCCGCTAGTGCCACTGTCCGGTGGCTGGTCCTGGAGGTGTCCTGGCCTCCGAGCCGAAGCGCCCTTCGCCAGTTACAGGTTCGCGTTCTGGGTCGGATCCTTCTAGGTCGGATCCCTCGTGGGCATGTGAAGATCAGATGGTCTTGCCCTGTGGCGCTTTGGGGCGCTGTACCCCGCTCGTCAACGAGTTGTGACTGTAACATAGCTCTACTCACAGGTGCTGGGGCTGTCTGGCATCTCCACGCTCAGAGTAGACGTATATGTAGACGGATAGATCCGGCATGAGTCGAGGAAGCTACACGTCACCATCACATGGGACGGCAAGAGATTGATGTTTGATGTTGCTGCTTGGGGTTCCATTTCCTGATTGGCGTCTGCCGTGGGCACCAGACTGACGGCCACCAACAAACACCTTGCTGGCACCTCGACAAGAGCCGCACCTGTCCAGCACCAGCAGCTGCCAGCTTCTGGCAATCCCGGCTCTCTGGACGGCCACGGATAAACGCCGTCCTTCCTGCGAATGCCCTTCGATTGCATCGCTGGCAGCATCGCGCCCAAGGTCTTGGCTGCCCGAACCTCATGGCGCCTGCACGGATGCAGCTCCGGGATAGTTCTGGTAGGGTGAGGTTGGTGACGCACAGCCAAGTTGCCCAGTGCGAGTCCTGTTCCGCCCGCCTTTTCCTGCCCTGACCCGTCCTCGACATGTCACCACTGTCCATGCTCGGGATCCCGTCATGCAATGGATCCGCTTGAGGCCGGTCGTCGTCCAGCATCCAGATCGACGATGATCGACGCTTTACTCCTCCATGTCGCCGTGTTTGCAGTTGCGCGGCTCCTCTGCCTCACGGATTCTCACATAAGAGATCTTGGTACGACAGCACGACCAAACTTTCCTCTGCTTGGAGAGAGGACTGAAGTGAACATAGATCTTCAACCTGGGAACAATTGATGCTGCGATCTGTGGATTGTGCGTGGTTGTTCGCAGCACTGGTTTTGTGCGCATCTTGACGAGTGAGGGCCTGTGCTCGGGCGTGCACGTGAGCGACTTTTTGCACCTGCATGCGCGGGTGAGATGGGTGGAGGTTGGGGGGGGGCTTCCGTTGCAGGTGCAGCTCTTTACGCTCAAAAGTTTTGTGCTGTCTCTCGACTGTCATGCAAAAGGGCAGCCTTGACACCTGGTCGCACCTGAGTGGGTAGACTATGTCCGTCTAGCAGGCAAAGATCCGACGCCTACAGGATTTCCTTCGCAGCGCACTCATCCGATTGAAGGCCACGAGGGTGGCACTGAAGGCCCGGAATCCGCCTCGCCGTTCAAACAATCTTCTGCGTGAGTCGAAGGTGCAGATGCTTCAGATTGAGCGGGATCTGGTCGAAAAGGACGGGGAGTTTGCGTGTCCAACTTAGCATTTGTGTAAGTGTGGCCACGTGCTGCGAGGAGCTGGACGAGGAACCGAAAGAGGCAAAGGATTCCAAGGATCTTTGCCGGCGGATGTCGTACAAAGCCTTGGACCAGAAATCTCAAGATCAGGCCGGTACTGGGCCAGCGGTGCAGTCATGTGTTGTTGCAAGAGAATTTCAGGGGTGTAGTTCATGCGCACATCACTCTTGGATGCGCCTGCAGACCAAAGCCCTTCTTCCTGACACTTGGCGGACGCAGGCAGTAAAGTGCGATGCTTACATTGGCATGAAGACTTGACGTCAGAAGGTTAATTGGCTTCAAGTGTTTTGGATTGTAAGCTTTTCCACCTCCTTAGAAGCTCTACCCCTCTGTGATAGCAAGATGCCGGGAGCAGCGAGTCGTGCCCGTTGCTGCTTTTTCCACCGGGCTGAGTTCTTTATTGCGGCTTCGAAGACACGAGCAATTGCAGCTGCTGCAAGAATGGCGAATGGACATGGCGACTTACCACTGGGAGGCACTTGCCACATGAGCAACCAGCGACAGCGGGCGCCAGGCTCAAGGCTTTTTCTATCGAGATCTGGCCCAGGTGCAGGAATGGCGGAGAGCGCGCTCTGCATTGACCTGCCCCATCATGCCTCCTTATCCGACGCATGTGCCGAGGAGCAAGGACTGCAAGTGGAATGCACTACGTGTAAGGATGCAGAAGCTTCCGCTATGACACGGTGCTTTGACCCTGTACAGGAGCTGGCAAAGATCATTTGCGAAGCCCGGAGAAAGTGCAGCTGGGTGCATGTTTGTTGCAGGTTTGCAATCATGTACATGATGCCAGGGCTTGTCGTTTGGCTGGCGAACTTCTGGGAGAACATCTGGGAAGCAGCCACGAACGGATCTCATGTGTGGGGTGGCGGGTGGGCAGTGAGCAGCACAAAGCGACAGTTGCCGCTCAAAACGTCGTTGAAGAGCCTGGTAGGATGGTGGGCGGAGCGGCGCACATGGGCCCGTGTGGCATTTCGCAGCAACATCGGGTACTGTATGGGGCATGCAGCGATTTGGGCCGCACTCGTTGTCTGAGGCAAGACACGTTCTTGCTCGTGACAACATCGCATCGTATTCTTCGTTGCAAGAAGCATAGTCCTACTGCCTCGTCGCCCCACAGACTTGTGCCGGTCAGTTTTGGGTAGCAGCCGCTGCAAGAGGTCTCCATGACTGGGGGTTCTTGAGATGGTACTTACAAAGGAGCTGTGGGAAAGGCGCAGGCTGGGCGGTCGTACAGGCGGTCTTGCAAGCCTGGCTTCGTTCCTCATAGTGCCGAGTGCACCGCAACACAGGATTTCCAGTTTGGAATTCCACTACACGTTGAGACAGAAGCACATAGCTGACATTGAGAAACCACACACGAACCCACACACACTTGACACATCGTGTCGCAGGTCTCGAATCACACTCTCAAAGTCAGAAGAGTCAGCTTCCTGAAGTTATTAGATCTTGTCATTTCGGCCAACTGTGAAACAACAGCGTCTTTGGGGTACTTCGGGCGGCCGTTGTGCAGGTACGTCACAGGAACGTCTTCCCGTGATATCACAAGCAAACTGGAGCGTCTTCATTGGCGCAAGACTCCAGAATGCTTCTTGCGCCCCCTGCTCAATCGCGTCAGATTTACCTACCCTTCGAAACAGGGATGGACACACACAAGCCCGACCGGGCTCATTGCATCTGTTCAGTCGCATGCACAGCACTTGCAGGACAGTGGCACTCACCTTGTAATGTAAACAGTGTTTGCGCGCTGCTTTTTCACTGAATTTCATGGGAGAGTCTCATGCTCAAGAGACCTAGGAGACTGGGCTACGAAACCTCAGGAAGCGCAGTCTATGCACTAAGTGCAATTCAACTTCTGCTTCTTCCGCATCAGCATCGAAGTACATGCAACACTGAGTTGCAGTTTGGTACGCAACGCTGGCCAGTGACACAATACTCACTCGCAAACGCTCCTGTACTAGGTCTACGACAGCTCTCATCCACCTTTTTGACGGGCTGCTCAACATGGTGCATGCCACGGCATTGATTTGTGCAAAACGGATGGTGGTATGCAAAGACTGAAAGCCCATGGTCCACTCAACCGAAGAGGACAGTCGAAACTCCTGTATCCCACGTCGCAGGAAAGTGTACGCCACCATGGTGTCGGTTATGGGTTGTGCCTCTTCTGGGTCATCATTTGGATCGAGACGGGTAATGAATGTGATTCTGGTTCTGATCGGCAACACGTACATCAAGATGTTGTCGAGCACGTCAGAAGCAGCCCAATCCATGATGTTCGGGGTCTACACAATTTTCCGAGTGCTTGAAGCAAAACTCTGTTGCATGTCTGATGAAAGCAGCTCACGACAGCTCAGCACTTGCACGTCTCTGACATGTTACTCTGCACATTTCTTGCACTGCACTTGCACATACCTCGCACACCCTTGCATATCACTTGCAATCCGCTTGCACATCACTTGCAATCCGCTTGCACATCCCTTGCTCGTCACTGCTCTTGACTTGACACAGAGGTGGGCTCTTTTTATACCGTAACAACGAAATCGACTGGTTCGAGGGTTTGAGCAGTCGTAACAGGTTCTGTAAACCGAAGATGACGAAAGTTTTGTACAAGCTGGAAGGTGTGCAACCTAGGCCACCAGCCGAACTTCTCCCAGAGCTGCATCGCGACAAGGTATTTGGCAACGTTGATGGAATCGTTGATTGACAACTGGATGTGGAGAGTGATGGTCTCGTGTCCGGTTGCCCGACTGCATACACGAACCCACATCCGAAAAATGTAGTCGCGGCTCGTACTCCAAGGCAAATTGGCTTCGCGGGCCTTGCGCTTCATGTTGGACAACCTACACAATTTCACTGGATGTCAAATGCTGCAACTCAAGACGGCTCATGCAGAAACCTGAAGATGCACAGCACTGCACACGCGCACTCTTTAGTTTCTTTCACTTTCTTTGTGCAATCTCTCACTTTCGGTCAAGAAGGTACTGCACAAGTTTTAAAGTGGACGAAAAACGCTTCCTGGGGCCTTGCTTTTCTTTGGCAATGCGTTGGCCATGCTGTCTCAAGAAATCGAGAATGAACTGAGCTCTGTTGTGAATGTAGAAATCGTCACCAAGCACTCTCGTGCCTTCCATTCTGCGACGAAATTGGGTACTGGGTGCAGTACGAATCTTGATGCGCACACCGTCAGGTCCTTCATCGATCATGCGAAGTTTACGTTTCCGCGGTGGGTCCATCGGCAACATGTTGGTCTGCTCTGCAACTGACTGCTTCGGCTTTAGGACAGGAACTGATCGACCAGAGGACGAAGACGCAGACTGTCTGCCAATGGATGAAGACGCATTGATGTTCTCATGATCAAGATCAAAATCAGCTGAATCTGGATCACTGGCAAAAGGAACATCTGATGCCGCATCTACATGTTGATCACGTTCTTGGTCTGATGCTGCAAGGTCTGACGAAAAGTCGGAAGAATGCACGTCCGATACAGAGGCAGCATCGCTCTCGAAACTGGACACCGACATGATGAAAAGCTACTTGTATGGTCTGAATCTATCTCGCACTACAGGGAACCTTGAGGGCATGAAGCAGGAGCTTGCACATCACTTGCACGTCACTTGCACATCCCTTGCACATCCCTTGCACGTCACTTGCACGTCCCTTGCACATCCCTTGCAACACCCTTGCAGTGACACTGGCACACAGACGCTTGTTTGCAACTGCTCACGTTTCACTCTGAGACTTCAATTTCTGCTGGAAGCGTTGGGGGCAACTCTGTTGTTTCTTGTAGTTGAAGAGAATTAACACAATGAGTAGTCACAGATTGAAGAGAATGCAAATCCGTCAGCAAGTTCCCCACCACTTCGTTGGTCTTCTGAAGTTTCTGAAACAGTTCTGTGGTGGCGGACATGACTTCCGCCACCTGAGCCTCAGTGTCCCTGATTTGTGTGGTGAGCACGTCGAGTTGGGCTTGTTGGATCTTCTGGACGGACAATGCTTCTTCGCGAAAATGACGGAATTCACCTCTGATTGTGATCAGCTCCTGTTGTGTGTAGGAAATCCAGCGTTGAAGAGGTGCCAACGGATCGCACGCTGAGTTGCTCGACATTAGCGCAATGGAACGAGACTTGAGCAGGGTGCTGCAACACTGTTCTGGTATGTACAACAACACGAATGAACGAGTACTCTCAGCACTGGCGTCCACTGCACATTCTTTCCTCACTTCCGCACTCGCATGCGTTACAGATACAAGTGAAATCCTGTCACATCGGGCATACTCAGCTAAGATCAGACGATTGACTGCGTCGAGATCGGCGTGATGCACGTCTTCTGGTAGGCATAGGTTTGGATCTAATCGGAGTACCTGACGCAGCTGAGGATGTAGGTGCGGCCGACGACGAAGCAGCACTGGACACCAAAGGAGGTTCAGACACACGATGCTCCAAGCTTGCTGGTGGTACCGGGGGTGGAAAGACAGGAGCACTGGCACTGGGCGGGGGGAAAAAGGGAGGGGGAAGAGGGGGAGGGAGGGGAGGAGGGGGGAGAGGGGGAGGGCCAGGGGGAGGTAGGGGGGGAGGTGCAGAACTGGACGAAGGGTTGTCGCTCCCTGCACTCGGCGTACTCCTCGTCGCTGGCAGAGAGGAAGGAGGTGCATAGGGGTGGGATCTGGACGAACGTGATCCTGAAGCTCCGCTACTGCTAGGACGTTCTTCACGTAGGTTTGCTCTATCTCTCTCATCCAAGCGACGCAACTCTTGCTGTAGCATTCTTTCTGTCCCGTCACGCACAAAAGCTGTCAACTGAAGTACAAGAGCTTGACGAAGTTGAGGTCGTGATACAAAGTTGAGCAATCTCACACGCGCTGAATGAGTGAGCGCTCTCAAGAACTCATCGATGTTAGGATCCGAAGGTGGCACCGTCGGCATGCTTGCTTACACAGATGATCTCGTCTCTTAGCCGAAAGCACTGCTCAAGCACTTGCACGAACTCGACAAAGAACGAAGCTCCACAGAATGAATGTTTGCAGCTTGGTCAGCTGCTGCAATTGCCTGAGAGACATACTTCAGTGCCGTCGAATTGACAGAGTGGGGAGGAAGACCTAACAGGCTGATCAGATAGTCCGCCGTGCTTTGCATCAAAGAGCTGGGAACCTGCAACTCAAGATTGGCCTGTATCTTTCTCGAAATCTCACATGCCGATTTCATACGGCCAGGGCTGGAACTGATCAAGTGACGTAGAGCAGTAAACATGGGGTATAATGCGACCCAATTGAAGCTAGCTGAGTACACACGTATCAGCTTCGCTTCTTCATCGCGCACTTCCAACCCACGAAGTTCAGGAATCACGAAGAAGTTTGAATCTTGCTCCCACTCAACTTCCACATGCCCTTTGAGAAGAGATCGATTCTCAAAATGCTCATACGAGTCTTGCAAGGGTCTAACTCGAAAGACGTAAGTCTGGTCCGCACTGAGCTGCCACCCTACGCGATCTGCATGAGTACCAGGAATCTGATCACAAATTGCACGAAGTCGAATGCTGTTAGGATCTGCAACGAGAGAAACTCCGCTTCCATGAACTTGCCGAAGTCGCTTTGTTGGCTGGGATGAATCATCCGTTTGGTACGTGATGGCTGACTGCTGGCTCTGACCAGATGCTGTTGACTGATTCTGTTGAGAAATAACAGACTGCTGAATGTCAAGCAAATTGTTAAGGCCAGCATACACATCTCTGTGGCCTCGGACATGTGTCAAGTTTGCCGACATGATCGCTGAGTATTCAGCGAAATCAGCCACCGAGCGAAACGACAACCGGAAACCTGCGCCGTCTGCATGAAGAGTGATTGCAGGGGGAACCTCTTGCTGTGGAACCTGCCGATCATTTACAGCACGTGCAGCAATCAAGGTAGGAGTTACATCTGTAGTTCCCGCACCAACATTGGATGCAGAAGGGACCGGCAAAGAAGAAGATGAAGCAGGCGCCGGGCAAACTGCAAGAGTGGGGGGTGGGGTGAAACCATAAACCTCTAAAGGGGTAGCTCT